GCTGGACTTTCGTTGTTTTGCTATGCTCTGTCATGGACTTTCGCTCTTATGTCCTGGACTTTCGTTGTTTTGACCCTTCTCTTGTGCCATTTTCAAAGCCAATTTTTTTGAACCCGGGTGGAAGGATCTACACTTTTGACTGCATCAGTTTTCTAAGTTTTTTCCCAACCTATAATGCAGATAGAGTGCATGCGAGTCTAAGTCACAAGTATGGTTTCAAGTGTGTGTATATGGTAGTTTCAGTGTTCTGAAACTCCAGTTAAAGCACAGAAAATATGCTTAAACTGCATTATAAGTACGAAAAACTATAGTTTAACTGTACGAAAAGTACCACTTTTTTCGGACAAACTACAGTTTTCCGACAGTTTTCCATAGTTCGTTTCAGAATTCTGCCAGGTTTCTGCAACTTACATTCCAGTTTTACTGTAGTTAAATGTGAGTTTTGCTGTGTACTAAAAGTATAGTTCTTGTTTTCAAATTTGAATTTTTTTTTGCCCCACGTTGCCCTTATTTACTTTGGTTACGCTTCTGCCTTTTGAATTACCAATTTTACCCTCGAAGTTACTTACTTGGATGATGAAAGTTGACGGCGACCGATGGGATTTGAACCCCGAACTTTCCACTTCGGAGACGAGGTCTGTACCCCTGGGCTATGGCGCCACGCTACGGGAAGGTATGCCGTTGCCTGATGTCCCTCAGAGCCTAGCGAACCCCTCTATTGCAGTCCGAACTGTAGTTTGACTACAGTTCAAGCATAGTTTAAATAAAGTGTCTTCGTTTTGAACTGCCAATCTTGCAAGAAATGTCTCCCGACTACTGACAATTCGGTGATTATTGAAGGTGTTTGATAAGTAAACTATATTGGTGTTTGTTGTGGAGCTATACGTATTCATTTCAAGTCATCAAACGTTGGACTTAATGTTGACGGAGCGTGAGTGAAAGTTTAACGAAAAAACCTTAAATTATTTGAAATTGAAACTACACCAATTCTACAATTGCAATCTGTATTAAATTTGGTGTCATTTACGTCACACTATCAGAGGTATGAAACACGTTGTGTAGACGTACAACAAACTGTAATCAACCCCAATATTTTCTTGGACTCAAATTTTTTTCTTGCTTGTTACATGCTATATAATCATAGATCAAAAATATTCTCAAGTCTCATGATTTGTTTAATCGAAATTATATCTCTGATTACTCAAAATATACACACTGTTAAATGCCTGCGAAGTATTTTGCTCCTTCGTAACTACAAAGCATGTACTTCGCAATTACAAAGTGATGCTTTGCAATTACGAAGTGACACTTTGCAGTTGCAAAGCGATGCTTTTGAGCGTTTTCATTGCTTCGCAATTGCAAAGCATCACTTTGTAATTGCAAAGTAAATGCTTCGTAGTTACAAAGGAGCAAAATACTTTGCAGCTCTGCAAAGCAAATGCCTTGTAGGAATTTAACAGTGCAGAAACTGTATAAAAATTTGTTTTCCCAATACAGATTGGTACTATTGATGTTATCTGCTAGTTCAACTATTTGTATTCTGCATAATTAATGGTGTGAAAAGATTAAATTCTTACTCTTTATTATCATCTAGTCAGAATTACAGTTAATGTACTGGTTGCAATGCAGATGCAAATACAACTTTCAGGACAACTTCATACTAATGTCGGAAACTCGATAGTAAATTGGTCTTAAAACTGTCTTTAAACTACAGTGCGAAACTAGTGTGGAAAACTACAAAAAAGTAGCATAATAAAATATCTGAAAACTCAATTGCCAAACTAATGTATCAACTATACTCATTTCTCTTTTTTTTCTCCTCTGCAACTGCAGTTTCAAGACTGCAGTTTGAACGCTATAGTCCAGACTACAGTTTCACTAAAGAATCCTTCCACCCGGGAAGTTTATAAAAAATAAACTAATTTCGTCTGTTTGCTCATGTTTTTTCAAACTAATTTGGAGCAGACAACAATACTATGAGAATTTCTCAAACTAGAATGTTTAAACAGTCTCCTGTAAAATTTTGGTTTGTGGACTTACGCTGTTTTGATTGCTCATCAGTGAATTCCCTTCTCCGCTTGTGCGTGGTATTGCTTACCGACTGCAGGCCGACATATGATGACGGGTATGTCGTGCCGGGCGTCATTGATGACGTTCTCCGCCAGGGCTTTGGTGAAGGTGTATGTATTGGGCTGGTAGTCCAGTATCCTGCGCCGACAGGAGAAGTTAGTTCGCCACTCGGAAGTCATAACGTCTCTCTAACGCGTTTTGCATAGGGCATTTCGTTGAATATTAAGGCCGGAAGTAAGTGAAGACCGCGTTACTGCGAAACAGCAGTGAGCACATTTACGGGTGAAGCGAGTTAGCAAACCCCGCATGCTGCTGTGCCGTAGCCCTGACACATGGTATGGGCAATTCCAGGAAAATTGGTGAAAAATGTTTCGCAAGTAACGCGGTTTGTGACCGAGAGGTGCCACGTTGTGCAATACATGTGCAGACTCGCCATCTCATGACGCGCCTAGTAATGTTTTGTACAAAACCGTAGCAACTCTAGTTCGCTCACAAATCCTGTTGCGCACGGACACCCCTTCTTGGAATTGCCCGTATAACGAAGTAGAAATTCGCAAGGATGACAGGCCTGCACAAGAAATCGTAACATTTCATTCTGCAATTAACGTTTTTTTCTTCTTTTTTTCATGTCTCGAGTTCCTTGGATTGAGACTTGATTCGCAACAACGTTTATACAAACTGTAAAGGTAGAGCGCGTTCGCTGTGTCCGAACTGATATGTAACCGATTTCGGTAATGGTATTTATCACCTGATGCTTATAATAGGAAGATGCACTGTCAAATATTTGCTAACACTTCTGACCAAAACGTTAACCGTTCACACCAATACTTGAATCTTCCAAATAACAAATTTGATGGACAGAAAATATTGCCCGCCAGTAAGATAATGATTGGTCTCTTGCTGAATACAAATGTACATCTTGTTGAGATGTGCACAAAAGCGCATCTATCTATGAACAAAACAAAAGGCCGTTAAGATTTAGATTGACGCGAAAACTGACACGCATCTACTTCGTGTGCGGCTTTTTTGCCCAGTTTTTGTTTTCAGTCGATGGTTTGGTCGGAAACTCTGGACACAGTAACATTTGATGATAAAAACATATTAAAATGCTTTAACATCAGTGCGGACACCTTAACAAATCAATTCTCAAAATCCAAGTGTAGGTAACTACTGCAACACAGTCACGCTGTTGAAACAATGGCGGCTGGTCACTTACTTATGCGTCACTGCATCCAGGACGCCCTTGTCCTCCGTCTCGGCTATGCGAATCATAGTGCGCCAGTCCAGGTGGGCCCGGTAGGCGCGCTCCTTGAGGACAGGCTCCTTGGTGAAGCAGTAGGTCGTGGACACGTACTGCAGCACCTGAAGGCGAGGCATCCTCTTGCAGAGCTCGACCACCTCGCGGGTGCCGCGCGTGTTGAGCAGAATGGCGGACTGCAGCGGGTCGTCAAAGCGCACCGTGGCCGCGGCGTGGAACACGTACGATACGTTGTCCACGAGCAGGGCCTCGTCGTCGGCGCTCAGCCCCAGGCGCAGCTGGCTGCAGTCCCCCGCCACCGCGCGCAGCTTGGCCGTGGCCGAGGGCCGCTCGCTCAGCAAAGGGCCGAACAGCTGCAAGATGAGACAGCTGTGTGCTTATCAGAATGCGCTTCAGATCGCGGTTATGTTCTCTACATGCCTTAATAGAGAACAGTACCCCATGTCTATTGATTGCGGAGCTCTTACTGGTGTCTGTACGATCTGCTCCACCCGGTCCTGGGCGCTGACTCCACGCTTTGGCCGCAGCAACAGGTAGATGCACTCCACGTCTGGGCACGAACGGAGCAGCTTCTCCACAAGCACCTTGCCCATGAACCCCGAGCCCCCGGTCACAAACACGTGCTTCCCGGCGAGCTCCTCCTTGATGATCGGTAACGACATGTCTGCTATACGTTAATACAACGCCCTAAGGTAAGCGTGAAAGCTGCAACCTCACACGAGTGTCAGTCCTCACTTGCCCTGCTCGACTGTTGCTTACCGTTTGGGCTGGACGGTGTTTATCGCTGGGCCCAAACACACCATAAATGCCTTTGGATCGAGTATAATTTGAAGGTCCTTGTATAATGTCTCATGCGGTGACCTGGTACAAGCCCATGTTCTGCACAGTATTGAGGGGAACATTTATCTTTTTCTGTACGTACAGTACGCAAGTTGAAAGGTAACGAGATTCGTATTCCTCTCGGAAAAACAGGAGGGAATGTCTGATGGGCGGATGCGATTAGCCTAAAGACAAAATTGACGAAATGGTACAGTTAAAGGTAGTCAAAAAGTAGGAAGTACTACGGGTGGTTTAGAAAAGACGAAGTGCGGACAAGTTTGCCTACTCGCCCTGCCCGTAAGGCATGGGTAGGAAAACCCGCCCGCACCTGGGTCTTTTCCGAATCACTCGGTTATCAGTAAAAAGTGTCGAAGTGTCAAACAATCAGGCCCGCCCTTCCGCCAAACGCAGTCGCCAGATCTACTTCGCTCCGCCGGCAACCACGTCCAGCAGGGGCCGAGCCTGCGTGGCCTGCCGGCAGCGTTGCGGCGCGAGCTTTAAGTCTCTATTCATTTGTCTATAAACTAATGCTTCTGGGTGGACGTTAGGTTGTTTCATTTTGAGGGGTCAGGACGCCAAATTTTCTGAAGCGAGGTTTTTCTGAAAGTTTATTTCATGCTGATACTCATGGAAAAAACCCGGGGGCTGTGCGATGAAGGGAACCCGGCGCAACCCGCGCTCAAAGTTTTTTGGGTGTTTTGGCGGGTATCACGACCGACACGTTCTCGGGCCCGCTGTGCGGCTGCGGCGCCGCC